GTCATGATGAACTCTGTTCTTTGGACAGGGATCAGCGTAGGGTTCTGGGCATCCACCAGAAGATTTACGACCCATAGTGTCACAGCAGCTCCTGGACACTGCGTTGAACCTCTGAACTGGAATGATTTTGTCAAGCCAATTGTCCCGATATGGATATATGATTATGCCCCTGTGCCTCAGGTAAGTGGTGATCACCAACATATATTTGGTGACCACTCTTGGAGCTGCTGCCAGACCAACGAGAAGGACTGTGACCTACTAATGAATGGGCCCAACTGTGAATCTGAGTCAAAGTCTGTGTCTAGGGAAGACTATAATGTGAAATTATGTATCCTTAAGTTGAGGGCAGAGGACCAGTCTCCCTGATCTAGGGAGGGAACAATGGAAGCTAGGGAGACCATGCGAAACTTCAACTTTTGTAGGTAGCTGTTGAGGTTGCACAGGTCCATCTTTATCTTTTGGGGTTGCCATAGCCCATCTTTAGCCTTTAGGATAAAGAAGAAGTGGAGTAAACCCCCTTTCTCTGGAAGTGAGGCGGGATCATTTCCACTGTCCCCAGTCACAGTAGTCCTTGTTCTCCCTGTAGTAGGAGATGCTCATGAGAAAGGTCCCTGAAGAGGGATAATGAAGGGAAGTGTGTGAGGGGAGGAGAGCAAAAGCAAAATGTACCCGTACTTCCCTCTACTGTTTGGAGGATCCTTTTGTCCAAGGTGATGCTGTTCCAAATTGGGAGGAAATGGGAAATGCAGTTGAAGACGACAGGGTAAACTGGATCCTGAGAATAGTCCAGTAGGTCATCCTCAAGCGTACCCTCAAAGGGGGCATTTGGCTTCTGGTATACTGCAGGATGACCCTGCCTGACTGGAAGGGTGGCTCGGATGTTTCTTGTAGTCCCTGGTCTTTTCAGAATGTCAAATGAGGCAAATGGTTGTGCAGGTCTGAACCACTTGGGGATCAGAGCAGGGACATATTCCTGTACAACCCTCAAGATTCTAGGGCTCTTTGCAGTTTATTGTCTATTTGTTCTGCAAACAGTGCTTTCCCATCAATGGGGAGGTCCTGCCACAATTGCTGAGCCTCTGAGCACAAGCTGGAGAAGAGCAGCCAGAACACTTGCCACATCATTTGGGCTATCGAGTCAGCTACACACAAAGCTGCCTAGAAGGCTGCTCTCGCCACAGCCATGCCTTCATGCAAGATGCTCTGGAGCTCCTTTCACAAAGGGTCCAGGAGCATCCCTTTGAACTTGGCCATAGTCTGCTACATAATTGTAGTCATATAGGCCAAGGAGTGCTTGCTGGTTTGCCACCGTGAACTGTAAACTGGATGATGAATAGACCTTTCACCCTAATAAGCCCAGCTGTTTTGAGTCTTAATTGTGGGGAGAAATCTAACTACCAGAACTACTGTCCATAGCAAAATAAAGAAGAAATAGGTAGGTCAGCCAAATGATATGAACAAACTTGCATGAGGCAGCAGAAGGTTCCAGCACTGTCACTGGCAGAAAGAAGAAACTGTGGGAGGGAAGAGCATGAAGCAACCCCGTCCCTTATAAGGAGCTCCAGGGGGTGCTAAAAGCACTACCCTACATGTACTCTTAGGGGGAAAACTTTCAGCACTGATGCACTTTGTGAGCACATACACCTATATGTGTAATGGACACAAGAAAAACTTGAACTTTTTATATCTGTCTTATCTTCATGCTGATAATACCTGCATATCCTTAAAGCCCAATTCATGAAGTGTTTTTTCATCATAATCAGTTGTTAGTTCGTGACCAGATGAAATCATTCTCACAGGTCCCATGAGCCCACCTACAATAAAGCACAACATAGTGAATTTCTGGACTCTCTCATTGGCTACTTTAAAAAGCATAACTTTAAAAAAAAATTAATATTAACATTGACACTCCATCTGATGAAAATATGTAAGCCCACAGGGCATGACCCAAAGCCCCCTGACGTCAATGGGAATCTTTGCACTGACTTTTTCATTAACCTCTGAATCAGGCCTTTAATTACTTCCTTAGCAGTATGATTAAATTGTATCTTGTAATAAAAAAGGCAAGGGGGAAAAATCCTGTCTTACGGGGAAGAGAGAGGGATAATAAAATAAACTTACCTAGAAGGAACTATTATCAAGTTCCTCCAAAGATGGAAAATTATTCTAAAAGCATTTATTTTAAATACTGATAGTTTAATAAGGCATGAATGTCCTAGGAATTTTCTTTTAATTACCACTAAAGTGTGTAGTATTAAATCACTATAAAGCACTATAATCTTCTAAATGAAGGATTTGGGTTTGAAGGATCCAGAAAGGTTCACATCTATTTGCTATTAAGACTGGATGGAGCAGAAGTGGCAGATGGAACTATTCCACCCCTTTTATAGCCATGCTTTTGTACACGTGGAACAGAGTGGAAGAATAATGTCTATGCTCTACCACATTCTGCTATAAGATGATTTCATTTTCCAAGCGGACTGTGAACATAGTGAGGACACTTGAAGGAAAACTAGCACACAGTGTCATCAAGCATAGAGCCGATATACTAACTTTCCACAATGAATAGTCTCTCTCACCCCATTATAGTGTTTAACATATATTTTGTTCATAATTTCTTCTTCGACCTCTCTAGCAAAATTTACTTTTAATTAAGACAATGTGAATTGCAGATGACATCTATTAAAACAGATAATCATTGTTTGTGAACATCAGAAAGAATGGCATAATAGCATTAGAGAGGCAGAAGCTGGAGTGCAGTAATGGCTCAGGCTGTGTCAAGGACAAAGACCCTGCCAGTGGAATCACCATCTAAACAGTGATGAAACATGGTTGGCAAAGGTCACAAAGTGCTGAAAGTTCCCAATGATGTGGCAAGGCACTAGCCACAGTCCTAAATAAAGCAAATTAAAAAGAAACAAACGTGACGAGGTTACTTACCTGTAACAGGGGATTCTTTGAGATGTGTGGTCCCTACCTATATTCCACTGAGGTTATGTGCATGTGGCATGTGCCTGGAGTGGGAACTTCTCAAAGTAGTAGTGTCCACCGGTCCGCGCATGGACTCTGGTAGATAAAGGGCATGGAGGACAGGCCACGCCTTCAGTTCCTTCTCCACCACTAATCTACTAAATCCGAAACAGAGGTGAAGGAGGGTGGAATTGGAATAAAGGTAAGTAGCCACCTCCTCTTCTTCGAATGATGGTTAATATTGTATTTCACGGATGGTGATTAACCAGCAGTACCTAGATCGTGGAGGGGGAGATGATGATGAAACCGTAGAACAGAGGACTTGTATACCAAATGAGTCACAGTGTCTTGAACCAGTGAGGGAAAAAGAAGTTTGTACTGAACTCCACATATCTGCCTTACATAAGTCGAATATCATGGACCATGGCAATAACTGATGCTTGTACTATTATGGAGTGGGCCCATATCCCACCTGCTTGGCACTGCCATAACAAGTGATTGCAGAACGTAGTACACTATGGAACCCGCTCTGAGATTTTCTGGGTGAAGATGATCCATCCCTGAATTCAGACTACTATGGCAACAAACATCCAACATCTCGTCCTTTGGAGGGGAAGAGTCCTATGTATATCAAGAAAATGAAGCTGCTGTTCAGGAAAGAAGATGGACAGATGTATGGGTTGCTTGGGTTGGAAACAGGAAACCGCTTTCAATAGAAATATGGGATGCAAGCACAGTGAGACTTTGTTCTTATGCAATGTGATGAAAAGAGGATTTGCCAGTTCACCAATCTTTCCTGCACAGGTAATAGTGACCAGGAAAGAAACCTTCATGGAAAAAAGAAACCGGGAGCAAAAGGTCAGAGGTTCAAAGGGCAAGTTTATGAATGCCATAAGGACTACGCTGAGGTCTCATTGAAGAGCAAATAACTGAACAGAAGGGTATTTGCATAAAAGGCCCTTCCATAATCAGGAAGACAAAGGTGAGTGAAAACCAAATGCTTCTCACATGGGAACATGGACAGCATTGACAGACACTCTGTGCACCGTGATGGAGCTAAGAGTAAGCTCCAAGGCAATTAGAGACAGTAAGTAGCCTAAGACCATGAGGATCCACATAGCTTAAGGAGCAAGACCTTTCTGCTGGGCCCAGAAAGTGAAACATATCCATTTGGCTTGGTATGATCATTTGACTTGTGGAGTCCCTCTTACCACTTGAGAAGACATGCAGCACTGCCAATGAATATTACCGTGCCAGAAGTCTTCATTCAAAAACCAAACTTCCAAAATAAAGTATCCATGGACTTGGATGCCTGAGCTTGTCACTGGGTTGTGTGACCAGTTCTAGGAATGTCAAACTCTCTAGTAAAATTTACTTTTAATTAAGACAATGTGAGTGGAGGATCCTTCGACATGCAGAGGAGGAACCCAGAATTGGCAAGACCAGAATGGGGCAATAAGGATGGCAGTTATGTTCTCCTATCACGGTCTGAGAAGTACAAAGGGCAGAAGTGGTAGGGGCTGCAAGATGTAAATGATTTGGTCTGACCTGTCAATGATCAAGCTGCAACCCCGTGAATGGGCACCAAGCCCTCCCCTGAAACAATACTGTATATGCTTGGTGTTGGCATGAGAGATAAAGAGAGCGCTGACTAGAGTCCCCAACAACCACAAACATCAGTGATAATTGTGTGTCACAACCCCCATTTGTAGTTGGTCACGAAATTACTGCTGAGTGCATCAGCAATTTGTAGTTGGTCACGAAATTCTTGCTGAGTGCATCAGCAACCATATTCCAAATCCCCAGGAGATAGGTCACCAACAATAGTATTTAACCAACAGTGTACCACTTTCCAGAGTCATACCACTTCCACACACAGTGCTGGACGTCTTTTGCCTCTGATTGTTTAATGTATTAAGTAACAATATTCGTATCTGGCATAACAACATAATGCGAGTGGATGGATGGTAAAAATTCATGGCGTGCCCTGCATAAGTTCCAGAATGTACATGTGCATCCTGACTTCCCAAACATTCCAAGTTACTTGTGTCATGTGACCTCCCATGTCAGAGCTCCAGCAGTCAAGAGAGATATACTTTACAATCATCACACTTGGAGAAGATGGAAGAAAGGGCATTCTGGAACAAACTTGGAGTAGATCTGCCCATACTCGAAAGGACAAGATGATTTCTGTTGGAATGGTGAAAATGATGTTCATGGCTGTGCATAGGAGAACAGCCACAATTGTAGACAGTGGAAGCCATCAATCAAATAAAGGCCTTGACATATATGCACACTGCCATGTGACCATGGAGTGGGAGAGAAGTTCTGGCTGGATGTCATTGAAATGATTTGATCCAGTAGTGGCAGGAACATGTCCTTCAGCAAATACACATATGTGAAGGTTGCATCAGTGGATGCAGGAATGAATTCCAGGGATTCCATAGGGTGCAGATTCAATTTTTCAATTTTCACACTCATCTTCAGGGAGGAGAAGGACCTAGGCAGCAAGGCATCCAGGTAGGGGAAGACAAGAACCCTGTGCCCTGAAAATCTGCAGAGATAGATTCCACTGCTCTTCTGCAGTATCCAATGGAATGGATACTGTCATGAGAGCAGTCTCTGAGATGGGACCATTGTAGAGGATGTGGAGGAGGTAGAGTCACATTCAATCACATAGCCACATCGAATGACATCTAGGATCTGTTTGTTATTGTACTCCATTGCTGGCAGAAAGAATTTGAGATGACCCCTGAGAAGGGTGACTGACAAGAGCACTGGGGTACAAAGTCACTGACAGCACTCTAGATACACACAGAAATATTGCTTATATGAAAATAGAGTGGAGGACCACTCAGATGGGCTCTTCATACCTTTTATCACTTCTGGGGAGGCTCACAGGTGGTAGAAACAGGGAGCTCTGTAGCATTGTGTAGACAGCGGACGATAACATTTTTGTTTGGGCTCTGCCTTATAAATGTCTAGCAATCACAGGATGCACAGAGGGCTGAAGATTCTATGTAGAGGAGAGAGCCCTCTTAGTAGGCAAGTGAACCAAAGCATGTGGAGATCTCACCCCTTCTAGGGCAAATAGTTGATAAGGTCCAGGAACACAGTGGAGTCTCTCCAGCATCAAACAGCACTCAGTCTGTGGAGGGAACCTGTCTCTGGACCAACAAGACACTGGACATTGGCAGAACTGAAGCAAATGAGTTACGATGTTAAGGAACCAGGACTGGTACACCTGGCAAGCAATGCTACTTCTTGCCACACTTGTGGGCCCTAGAACACATTGCTCCTTGGAGGCTGGAACTCATGAACAATGCAGCATCTTTCTTGGATCTAGAGGAAGACATACAGCCATGCTTATGTGACTCATTGCTAGATCCCAGTGCAGGATCCATAGCACTGGTACCAGTGGAACTGCATTGGGATATTGCACTCCTGGACAATCAGGCCAGGTACAGAGAGGGTTCCCCAGGCAGGATTTGACTGTGGTTCCATGGCTACCTCCATGACATGCATCTTAAGTGGAGGGCCCAGTCTGCCTGAGTGAGAGCAGGCAAGGAGAAGCAGATCCTGCACCTATTAGGGATGTTAAATTGTGTTTAATTAAGTAACTGCGTAACCAGTGAAAATTTCAGCGGTTACATGGTTACTCGCAAGGCAGCATTCAGCTCCCTCTGATCCAGTGCATGTGAGGAGCCAGCTTTTAAGCCAGCTCCCTGGGTGTACCGGCTCCTGCCGCACTGTCGCCCCCCATTCCCCACCCTGTACTGCTGTCTCTGATACAGAGGCAACAGTGTAGAGGGGCAGGCAGCTTGCCAGCTTTTAAGCCAGCTCCCTCCGCATACCAGAAGCCTGTGTGTAACCACGCACATTAACTGATGAACCCAGACTCACTGTTAACCATGGATATAGTTGCATTTTCACATCAATAGTATCTATATGCAGCATAAGCTTCCCCCAAGCAGCACAGACAGTACTGGAGCTCATTGCGGATTGAAAATGTGAGAGGACAGGAAGCACAGAATAACTCAGTACCAAGACACAGGTACTGCAGTGGCAGGAAGGGTGAGGGAGGGAGGAGTGACAAGAAGCAACTGAAGCTGTATCCCAATGTCATAAATCCTAAAACTACTACAAACACTAAAACTACCACAAAAACAAAACTTTGACTATATATAGACACAAAACCAGTTTTTCTGTAAAGTCTGGAAAGTGCATCACCAAGGGCGTGAGACCAGCAGATGCTTCAATTCAGAACATGCAGCAGTCAGAAGGAACTGGAAGCGAAGCTGGTCTTCCCTGCCCTTTAATACCTCAGGTGAAATCATGAGGCGAAACAAGGGCACAAGTGTGGACTGACGGGTTACTACTGCCTTGCAAAGTTGTCTCCAGAGGCATGGCACTTGTGCATTACCATCAGTGGAATACAATAGAGACCATTATTCAAAGAATAAAAGATATGAGCACATATCTTGTACTTAAAGTACTAGAGTCAACTCCTGAAATATTCACTTAGTTTTTACTCAGTCCCTAAAATCAAGTAAACTCCCCATGAAAGAAATGAGTAAAAAAAAAACTCCTTAAGGATGCGAGGATTTGGCCCCATAAGGAGGAAGATAGTGAAAATATTTACATGTTTTGTCACCATGAATGAAGATGCTTTAAATTTTATTGAAACTTGAACGAAATACAACTTGAATTTCCACCTTAATTAGAAAGGCAACGCACCCATTTCAGAATTTCCTAATATAGACAAGCTGAATTTAGTAGGAGCTTTAAAATACTAGTACATTAAATAGACATGGCTAAAGTAATTAGTTTCTTTAATATCAGGCATAAATAAGAGGGGAAAGATTAAAATATTCCTGTTTAATGAGAAAATGGTATTATCAACTGTTTCACACCAGTCCAAATCCTGTGCTCAAGTAAGCATTTGTTTAACTTGTACAATTATTAACATTATTCCTATTTATTAATTGAAGCTCCACTGATGCACCAGGACATCACTGTGCTAGTTGCTATATAACAGCAACATGGGTCTTGCAACAAAGATCTCACAGTCCAAGTACAAAACAAGAGATACAATCTGGGACTATAAGTATATAATCGGAATCATTGGTCTGCACAACAAGCTATGGTCTCAGCACATCAGCAGTCTAAACAATGTCAAGTTTTTGTAGGTGTCCTGGAAAAGGAAAATCTTGAAGAAGGATAAAGAGGAAGGTCTTAATAAACACTTGATCAATTTGGCAACAGGATGTTCAGTAATAAATTAACTATCTTAACAAAACAGCAAAAAGACTGAAAGATGCCATAAAGAAACTTGTACCTAATGGCAAGTAAATCCATATTTGTGAGCCCAACATGTTCTGAGTCCTAAATAATTACCTATACAGAGCTATAAATATGATCATGGCACTTCACAAAATATGAGATGGGACTTCACCCAGAGGAGTTTAAAAACTAAATAAGACATAATAAAATGAATAAAAACAATAAGGGGAACAAGGAAAGGAGAAGTTAATGATGGAAGGAAAAATGAAAGTTACAAGAAACAAAAATCACAATTTGAAAAATCATGTGTAAGTAGTGCATACTCCTTATCACATCTGAATTCTCTCTCTGCTTAAAGAAATGGTAACACTCACAAAGCACTGATTAATAATTAATTGTGACAGGCTGATACTAGTTATGAAATAAATAGAACAAATGGAATAAAACCAACAGTGATACTTGCTATTTTTTCCAGATACCCTAATCTATTCTCAAAGAATCATCTTTCAACCTCTATGGATGATTAATGAGTCACGCATAATCTAAGGCTAAGAATACTGTATAACTTACCAGGGAAATCTCCTTTCCGACTGCTTTGGCCAAACTCCTGAAGCTGAGCTTGCTGATTTATTTGTTCTTTCTGCAAATTTTCATACCAATGGGTAACCTCAGCCCTTAGATCTGCCACTTGATCACTAGGATACATTTCAATAGTCATCTGAAACACAATGCACACATTTTTTCAGAATGAACAATGCATGTTATAAAACAATGATCGAGGAATAAAATCTATTTTGAAAACCATAGTTCTTTTAACTACCTTGTCAGGAAGTCCAGCTGGCTGACATACAATTCTTAGTGGTAATGACTGTTTATCACTAAGTGCCTTTAAGTGACTGCTGATACCCGTGCCTTCAATCTGCCACTGTCTCAGATGATATGCAAACCTTAAGAAGCATATAAAAATGACACATAAAACACCAAATGTTTTTGTTAACATCTGTTTAGCTCAAAGTGCCTGACAAACAGTACGAATACAAGAAAGCTGAGAACACTTCTAACTCTACTTCTCTGATTTTGCAGAGATGCCCACATAAAAAGACAAATATTTTGTATTCTTGAGATTGCTTAAATTAAAAAAAAAAAATCAAACTTTCTACATTTTTATACACATGAAACAGGAAAAAAAGGTAACCACCCTTTTTTTCCCCTTGCCAAAAACCTTTAATGGACTAAGCCTCATACACAATATTTGCTAAATATGTATTATCATTTTACTCAGACAAAACCAAATGAATCATTTACATCTATTTTTCATTATTTCACTCAACTGAAATTTCTATTCAGTACAAATAATAGGAAAATTACAATAAATCCTAACTCAAAATACACTGAAGAAATCATTTACCTCCTTCTAAAAGCTTCAAGGTGCGTCTTCAGCATTAAAAGTCCTCTTTCAATTATAGTGAGGCTTGAGTGGGAGTCTTGTTCAAGACTACTGGAAGCTATCATAAGGCTCTCCATGCACTTGCTAATAAATTCTTGTTCTTTTTCCAGACCTGTTTTTCCTGCAAGACAGATATTCAAGAAACTAGGTAATGAATGTCCTGAAAACTTCAAGTTTTTAGTACTCAAGTTTACAACAGATAAAATTTTTAAAAAACACCGTTTTTTAAACAAAAAGTGATTAAAAGGTTACTTGTACAATATTCCTTGGATTTTAGTATAGCAGTATAAATAAAAGTGAGAAGTCTTACCATTTATATAATAAGAATTGATATACTGGATAGCTGCTCGACTGACATCACCAGACTGTGCTCTTAAAGCAATGCCCCAGAATTGGTCCATACCACACAACTGTTGACAAATGAAAAAAATTGTCACAATTATTTTCCTACTGAGAATCATCTCTCCCCAGTTTGAGACATTTACACCTTGTCTCTACCTGCTTGTACTGTAGATGCTCCCATAGAATATTGTGATTTAGTCAAGCCCTGAATGGGTGGGACATGACCACCTGAAGCACTATTGGCTGTGTCTACACTGGGCCACTTATTCCGGAAAATCAGCCACTTTTCCAGAATAAGCTGCGAGCTGTCTACACTGGCCCTTGAATTTCCGGAAAAGCAATGATGCTTTACTGTACAAAATCAGCCGCTATTCCTGAAAAACTATTCTGCTCCCGCTCGGGCATAAGTCCTTATTCCAGAACACTGTTCCGGAAAAGGGCCAGTGTAGACAGCCCAGTAGTCTTTTCCGGAAAAAAGCCCTGATCACGAAAATGGCGATCGGGGCTCTTTTCCAGAAAAGCGCGTCTACATTGGCCACGGACAAAGCAGCCAGCCAATGTAGACGCTCCTTTTCCAGAAAAACTGAAAACGGAATAGTATTCCGTTTTAAGCATTTCCGGAAATTCATGCCAGTATGGGAATGCTCTAGACAGAAAAGATATATCTGACTACTGGACTAGAAAGAAATGACTCAAGGAACTTTAACAACACTGGGCTACCTACCCAAACCCTGAATTAACTTAAATTTATAATACAGTAATTCCTCATTTAACACAGTAGATACGTTTCAGAAAATGATCGTGCTAAGCGAAAACGTGTTACGCGAGGTCAATTTTCCTATTGAAAATAATGGAAAAGGTGGTGGTTGCGTTTTAAGCAGTGGTGTCAAAGTCAATTTTCTGTTGGTCCTGAGTCGTCAATGCCGACATTAGGTGATGTACTGTACAGTAAAATTCCAATTGTCTGGCATCCAGTTGTCCAGCATCAACTGGAACCCAGAAGAGCTCCAGTCAGCTGCTCTCTCAGCCGGGCTGCTGTGAGCCGCATGTGTGCTCGCGGCTCTAGCCTGCACTTGCTAGCAGCCGGCTGCTGAGCACATGAAGCTGCCTTGGGACCGGGGACATAAGGTTGGGGTAGAAAGGGGACTGGGTTACAGCAGGGAGGGGAGGTGTTTGGCTCTGGGGAAGGGAAGGGGAGGAGAGGAGAAGGGGATTGGATTGGGAGTATGCCCCTGTGACAGGTCTGCCGGGACCCACACTGCGTCTGGCAAGGAGGGTCAGCAGGGCGAGCAGCGAACCCTCCACCACTTTGCAGGGAGGTGGGGGAAGCCCAACCACCGGCCTGCAAGAGGGGCGAGGTGTCCAGGTAGCCCACGTCCCCAGATGCCTCGCGCCCTCTCCTCCACCCCCGCTTGTAGGCCAGCAGCTGGGTTTCCCCAGCCGGCCTGTTGCCGGCGGCTGTGCGGGGCTTCCCCCCGCCTCCCTGCAATGCGGCGGAGGGTTCGCCGCTCGCCACGCCATTCTCCGCCGACCCCCCCCTCACCGGACGTAATGCTGGTCCCGGCAGACCCGTCACAGCCACCTTATAGTACCTCCCAGTATGCCGGATTATCAGAAGTCTACTGTATTATTGCTGTTTTCACAATTTATACTGCTGCACAAAGTAGCCCGCCACTTGATTTTTTTTCATGTTATTTCAGAGACGGTCATGTTATTCAAAAAACGTTCCCTAAAAAAAATCGTGCTATCGTGAAAACGTGTTAAGTGGGCATGTGTTAAATGAGTAATTACTGTACTACTTAGCAGTGAGACCATCAGAAATAATGGTAGAAGATATTAAAGTCAAGCCTAAGTCATCCTGAAAAAAACCCCAAAGAATCAGGTATTTCAGCTTCCTTGGAGTTAATCTTTGTATCTTGGTACTCACTGGAGAACTTTGTCTAAACTCCTGAGGCAAGCCAAAAGGGTGGAAAACCTGCAAGAAGCTCAGAGAGAAATATCTCGTTGGACTTGCTGCTCAATAGTCAAACTGATAAGCCCAATTACTCTGAACTGTGAATAAGAAGCAAAACCCTGGGATACGATATCCCACTTGATGGGAAGATGGAGTAAAAGATCTCTATGAAAGTTACATTAGGTCTGAGTATCAAAGCATACTTGGCCACTGTCGCCTGACCTTCTTTTTAATCTTCTGACTCCCCTTTACTAGTAGCAGAGATGGGGGTGGGGAACACACAGAAAACAATTCATCTATTATGAGTCTGCATCTGATTTTAGGTTTTCTTATCTAATAAAAGGAACACGACATGCTTGTGTTTTCACTAGATGTGAACAGATCCACTTAAGAGTGCTACTTAGGTATCAGCTGCAACGAAACAAAGACAGCATTTAAGGTGATCTTATGCCCACTTGCTGATTTATGTATGCCAGAGTCATCATGTTGTGTGCTTGAACCAAGATTTTCTCCTCTCAAATGATCCTGGAAATCCTGAAAAATTACTATGGCCAATTTTCAGCTCTGGTAAGTTTATCGTGTGGAGCCTGACACATTACCATCTTTCAAGACTGACACATCTGAGGTAAGGACTTTGTGAATAGAGGTTCCTACCATCCCATGGTTCTGTTTTCGGTTTCATGTATCTTTAATTTGCTCTGCATCTCCACTTGGGAATGGTTCCAGGACTTTGAAAGCAATCCCTGAAATTTTCTTATTAACTGTCTTGCCCATGGAGTAATCTGTATGTAGAAGACCTGAAGACCTCGATATTACAGGCAAAACAGATTAATGATATCTGCAGCAGGACATGTAATCAGGATGTTCCTTAAACTTTGTTGTATCAGAAAAATTGGGTCTTCTTTACATGCATTAAAAACCCAAAAGGCACAGGGGAGCTGCAGCGTTTTCTTCTATGACCCTTTGTGAATCAATATTAAGGAGTTTGGAGAGGGCATAAGCAGGATTTAATGAGCTAACTGAGCCTTTACACTTATTGTAGGTTTCCTGTACATTCACAATGACTTGAAGGAGGAGTGAGGGTAGATGAAAAATCTGTGCTGAGTTTGGGTGAGAGTTATTTACCATTGGAATTGGTTGCTTTGTTTTTTTCCTGATGTAATCTTGATGGTGATAACTGATAACCATTTTTCTATCCATAATCATAAATCCATATGGAAGAAATAATGTCTTCTAATCTCTAGTGCCGTGTTACTATAGTTGGAGGCTGATAATTCTCTTTTGCAAGGGATCAGACAGAATCTAATGGAATAAGATGAGGAAGGCTTCTTGGAATTTTTTGTATTTTCTAGTCTCTGAAGATTTTTTTCTCCTTTTGCCTCCTAGAGGAGCGCTCCTATTCGTTGCTCCTATTTGAGAGATAACTCATCGGGATGGTTTTTAGTCCCTATGCCTTCCCACCCACCATTATCCAATGTATGGCTAGAGAGGAAATACAGGAAAACATCATGTACAAGAATCCAGATTCTTCTCCTGTGAAACAAAGTCACAACAAATGCCAAGGGATTCTACTAATCAGCTAAGAACATCAGAGGAGAGGCCGACATCTTCACTGAAAGAATTCTGGATTATTAAAGAATTATTATCTAATCAGTAAGGAGTAGATTACAACCCGGAAGAGCCAGGTTCGGGCGATCTGCGCATGCGCAAATCGCCGGATAGAGGGGCTCACCGCGCTTCGGCAAGCCCTGATCATAGGTAACACATGTAATTTGTAAAGAGGAAGGAAATTATATAAAGCCTAAGCACACAGCACACCATGGTGTCCACCTCAGTGACAGCTCGGTACCAAGTGTGTGATCCGAGCTGAGATGTCAAGTCAAAACCAGAAGACCATAAGAGAAGGTCAGAAGACCTACTTACCTGTTGTTCCCGATTGTTCCTAATTTCCTGCACTGTTCCTGTGTGTTCCCAAGTTCCTGTCTCCTGTGATATGTTCCTGAATCCTTGCATGGTCCTGTTCTGTCCCGTGTTCACCAGAGATATGGTGATGTATTATTTTTCTTGTTTTTCCTATATACCTATCATCTGTATTGCTTGGATTTCTTAACTTCAGGCCTCTTTGTTAACATCAGAATGCCTTATTGCTTGTTCACTGTTACTGGTTGTGGAGTCCTTTTTACAATAAACATTGTTCTGTTTGCACCTTTACTTTTGATTTCTACTACTTTGAATGGTAACAAATATAGGAAAGGGGGTGAGTGCAAATCTGAACAACCTGCTAGAATATGTGTGTTGTAACAGTAACTTGCCTAGTCAGTTAATATAACAAGTGAGTAAGCATGCTAATGGCCTTCATGAAGCTTTGATAGCTGCAGGTGAGACAAGACCAAGCACAGCAGTAGATGATAGAAAGCTGAAACAATTGCAATTTGGACCTTAATGGAGCTGAACAAAAGACCAGAATGCTTTAAATGCATGCATAAATAAATTTTAAAAACAAAATCTTCTGTATCTGAGCCAGCACCAGGTCCAGATTGTGTTGAGCTGTCCACACAGAGAACCCCTTCTACTTTGAGGAAAAAAGCCTTCTCTTAGACAGGTTTTTCTGTGCTGGATTAGGATCTCTTTGCTCTCTTTCAAAGATATTCAGTCAGCTAACACACATGGTCAGATAAAATGGCTTTCAGATTAGGATGCTGTAGTTCTGTGGTATCAGATTCAGATGCTCTGGGAGCTGGACATCTGTAATACATCTTTCAGGAACATCTGTCTCAGCCAGTAGGGAGCTACTCATGGCTTTCTCCTGCATGATCTTTCTATTTTATCTTGGGAAGCAGGTGACTAGATATAGCAAACTTCAATTCCAAGGCAGAAGGAAGGCCTCCAGCAATGAACAATGACTCTCATCCCTTTTGCAGCAAAAGTTTGGGAACAATATTCTTCTTTATGGCAAACAGGTCTATTGCGTGAATCCCCATCAATGAATATCATCTCAGTGATGGATCTGATTTTATTTAGTTTACTAGACAGTAGCAACAGAACTCTGTCCTCCAGAAAATAAGATCTCTCTGACCTAGAGATCACCATAACTACTATGAATGCTACAGTCTG